ATTGGCAGTTTCAGGTGATGTGGCGTGGAATGGTAACACTTTGCGCTAATGGCGCGACAATCGTTCGGTGTGCAGAGGGGTCAGCATGAGGAAGAACACTTGGTCGCCACCCTGTCGTCAACCACGAGTTGGCGCACGGACGGAGGTTGATGGGGTCTTCTGCACAATTAAAAGCTCTATCCGCGGGCCACTTGTGCTGCTCGGAGGGCTCTAGGGATGAAAAGATGCCTTCCTGGCGTTGGACGGAGAAGAAGGCGTTGGTCAGATGGGTTGCCTCATTCTTACATATTCGGTGCTTGGAGGGGGTCCACCGCTTCTCGTACGTCATGCTCGACGAGCAAATCGTTGTATTGCCACCACATACCCAACCCAGGCACATGGGTTGACTATGTGGTGGTGGGTCCCGTCGCACCGTCATGCTCGAATCGTTAATTGTACCGCCAAATGCGCGCATTGTGATCTCACTGTGGTACCCGGGGTCACAGTCGAAACGTTCGAGTGATTCGGCTGCGCTCCAATTCTCGTACACGTCGGCTAAGACTTCCATGCACTCACTGGCGTGCTTGGGGAGTAGATGAGGCACTGGTGTGTCTTTCCACTGCAGCCATCCACATTGCACACCTCGGCACTTGAAAGATGGCATGTTGTGTTTGTCACACCCTCGAGCACGCTTCCGCTCTCGCTCGAGATTCTCACAGCGATTGTCATACAGCTCACCACCGCATTTGGGACAAGCCAGCTGATGCTGTGAAGGGAGGTAATGGTGCACGGCGCCCTGGAGAGCGTGTCGCAAGTGCTTCGTCGTTACAAAAACGTTGGACTCTGGAAGCTGCCATTTCTCCGGACGACGCAAGCATCCCTCCACAGTGGCGAAGGTATTCGATAGCGCATCACGGCCGAACGGAACGGGAGCTGACGAGTTGTAGTGAGCAGCAGCAACCTCCCCGAGCTCTACCGTCAGGTGTCTCAAATCACCGGTGGAAAACGCCTCCTGCGCCAGCTCCTCAACGAGACCCGCCCCAGGCCCGTCTAGTAACGTCGCGTTTGTGTTTGCTGCGACCACACTCTGAATTGCGTTCTTGAGCAGCGATTTGTCTTTGCCATGCTCCACATGAATATCGCAGAGACTCAGCAAGTGCTTTTTATCGGGGTGCCACGGATCGATCACTTCCAGGATGACCGGGCAGTTAACGTACGAGTATGTTCGTAGTTCTTCAAGGTACTGCGCCAGCAGCTTCAGGCCGCATCCCGCTTGGGGATGCCACGCATTCACCTCGATTACAAAGATTTCCATTCGATTCGTAGCGGCGGGAAACAATATTTGCGTTTCAAAGATAAGATGCAAGCAGTCCACGTCTCTCCAGCTCGTGGCAGCGTTTTCACCGACTCCTCCGTAGCCGCCAGACACGTCGCCACCAAGAACACGGACATCGCAGCCCAGCGCCTTTGCAGCTTGTTGCACAGCGAAGGTCTTCCCGCTGCCAGTCGGTCCGCTCACCATTACCGCTCGCATGTCAGTGATAGGCCTCCATCCCTTCCTTTCGTTTGGCGTCAGGCGTGGATGCCGCGTACTCTTGCGGAGGATATCCTCAACGACAATGTGAGTTGGTTGTGAGGATGCAAGGCGCTGACCCGCCATTCGCCTCGGATCTCGTCCTCCTTCCCAAACTTCTTGCATGTTTCTTATACCCAAATATTTTTTTTCTGAAATACAGAAATTTCTTCTTATAGTTTTATATACCCAAATATTTTTTTTCTGAAATCCAGAAATTTCCGTGTTCCGATAGTTCCTATAGTTCCCGTGTTCCGATGGAAAAAAAGGTCCCCCCCAGTTTTTTGCACCGCCCTTCTAATTTATACT